AAAATTGAGAAAGGAGCTGCCGAAGAAGCGCAGCAGTCTCAATTATCTACATCATCAACGCATCGAGATTGAGAAAGGAGCTGCCGAGGAAGCGCAGCAGTCTCAATCATCCACGTATTTCGACAGAGAATAAAAGCTGCCAAGGAAGCGCAGCAGTTCTCTATCATCCACCGAGGAGGCACAACGAGGAAAACAGTGCTTGAAAGTGTCTTCGCCCGGTGCAACACCAGTGCAGTGCAAAACAGAAGCAGTTCGGTGCATCAGTGCAACTTTGCAAAGCAACAACAACTTGGAGTAATACCAGAGCAACAGCTAGAGGGGTACAACTGCAGTCCAACAGCATCCAGGCAGTAGAATTGCAGCGTTGCAGCCACATCACGCCAACAAACAGCGATTACAACGACTCTGTAAGTCACGCCTTGTTCTTTATTGTACCGCCGTTCCATTCTCTTTTCTATCCCATCTTAAACCCTTCGCTCTCCACTCAAACAATTAAAAATGGCTCCATCTCATGAAGAGCGGATTAAATCTTTAAAAGCTAAACGCGAAGCCTTCAACATCGAGTTGCAAGAGCTCAAGGACATGTTAAATGACCCTGAGGTATTTGCGCACGGCCGCGACATTCCGTACCGAGAAATTGGAATGCGTCTAGAGGACATACAAAACGAATACGCCGCATTCGCAAAAAATCAGCAAGATCTAGACACCGCGGACGAAACAGGGGATTTATTACGCGAGCGAATGAGGTTAAAATCACTTTATACGCAGGTGCGAGCACAAGCCTTAGACTTCCTTCCAAGCAACAACGTCGCGAGTGCAGCCACCCATATACCTCATGGGGATGTACAAAATCAGCCGTCACCGTATTCGCAAGGCGAGTTGTTAGATTTAGACGTACACCTCCCAAAGATAAATTTGCCATTGTTTTCTGGACAGTACGAAGAATGGCCGGGTTTTGCCGATCAATTTCGATCAACTGTTCACGAAAACCAGAGAATAAACGATTGTAAAAAGCTCATGTATCTCAGATCATGTTTAAAGAACGAAGCGTTGAGGGCGATAGAATCACTCAGTAATGCGGCATCAAACTATGCCGTTGCATGGAATATCCTTCAGAAACGATATCATCAACCCGCAATAATCGTAACCAACCACCTAAAGGCGTTATTCGACACGGCCGCTGTTAACCGATCAACACATCGCGAATTAAGACCCTTTTTAAATTCAATAGAGGCTCATTACCGTTCACTACAATCCCTAAAGCAGCCGACCACCGATTCTCTCTTAATACATTTATTACTTTCAAAAATCGACAAGGATACAGTTTTGAAATGGAAGGAGCATACCTGCAATGAGCAATTTCCTTCGATCGAGACGTTCTTTGCCTTTCTACATGAAAGGTGCCAAATTTTAGAGCCCTTTGGAAACACAACCAATTGCCAGGCATCGTCCATCCCCAATCATATACCGCGTCACCAACCACTTCGCCGACCACCGCCAAGACCCTTTGTTCACAACCCGCACACCCATACATCACAGGTATACAACGTCCAGACATCTACGATCTCATGTAACTTCTGCAAGGGTTCTCATTATCCGCAACAATGCGAGACATTTCTACGCTTATCCATCCCCGATCGTATAAAATTCGCAAGAACAAAAAACTCGTGCTTGAACTGTCTTCGTTCAACACACCGCACGAGCGAGTGTAGATCCACCACATGTCGAAGATGCTACCAAAAGCATCACACGTTACTTCATCAAGAAGTTGCGTCGACCTCAGTCGCGCCCACCCAAGTGCATGCCACTTGTCTAAAAGCTAGCACACCTTCGCAAATACTACTGGCGACGGCCGTAATCAATGTCATTGATAAATTTGGACAACCGCATCCATGTAGGGTGTTATTAGATTCATGCTCCCAATCACATTTCATAACAAAGAGGTTCTTCCAAGGGCTACAGCTTGCCACCAAATCAATCGCGATTCCGATCAATGGAATGAACGACATGACCTCAGTCATTAAAGCGCAAACCACTGCCCAGATCCAATCGCGATATAACAACTTCTCGAAAACTCTTACCATGCTAATTGTAGAAGAAATTTCGCAAAGACTACCTGCTCATCAAATAGAAAAATACTCATTAAACATACCCGCGAACACTTACCTGGCCGACCCTCAGTTCTACGAGCCCGCAGGTATCGACGGACTGTTAGGAGCACAGGTATTCTGGGACCTGTTGTGCTTGGGCCAAATCACACTCAATGAAAGGACCATAAAACTACAACAAACCCAATTAGGCTGGATAATAACAGGGGAAGTGCCGATAAAGGGCACGCATAAAAACACAATTTGCAATTTATCAATGGAAACGCTTAATAGTAACATAAATAAATTTTGGGAATTGGAGGAGCGCGTACCGGAAAGGTTATTATCCATAGAGGAACAAAATTGCGAGACACATTACATTAAACGTACACAGCGCGATCCAGTCACAGGTAAATACATTGTACAACTGCCGTTTAAAAATAGCATCCACACATTAGGAAATTCCTACTCACTAGCTTTACGGCGTTTTCTTTCTTTAGAAAGACAACTCGACCGTAGTCCAGAAATGAAGGTGCAATATATAAATTTCATGAAAGAATACGAGCAGCTAAAGCATATGTCCAAAATCTCACACCACCCGAACGAAGGATACTTTTTACCTCATCACGCGGTCACGAAATCAGACAGCCTAACCACTAAAATTCGTGTGGTTTTCGATGCCTCGGCAAGATCCACCTCAGGAATCTCACTAAATGAAACTTTGATGGTAGGTCCGGTAGTACAAGAGGATCTATTTTCAATAGTTACCCGCTTTCGCGTTCATACATACGTCTTAACCGCAGACATAACAAAAATGTATAGACAAATAATACTAAATCCAGAGCATCGAAAATATCACAAAATTTTATGGCGGGAAGGTCCAACGCATGCCATCCAAACCTACCAGCTAAACACGGTTACGTATGGTACGGCATGCGCGTCATATTTAGCCACACGGTCCTTATTGCAACTTGCTGAAGATGAAGAAAAGGTACATCCCGAAGCATCAAAGATACTAAAAACCGACTTTTACGTGGACGACTTGTTAACCGGCGCCGACAATCTAGGGAAGGCGCAGCGTATTCGCGATGAACTCATCGCACTCACAGCAAAGGGGGGCTTTCAACTCAGACAATGGTTGTCGAATGAACCGCAATTAGTAGCGCCATTGCAAAAATCAGACGATCCGCTCATGACTCTTGATCTCTCAGATGAGAAAAAGACGCTAGGTCTTTATTGGCACCCCACACAGGATACACTTGGCTACACTTTAAAGGGCAACGAACCCTTGAACACCGTAACGAAACGCACTATTTTATCTAGAATTGCACAACTATTCGACCCGCTAGGATTAATAGGTCCAATAATTGTCCAAGCAAAGCTTATTATGCAAAGCTTATGGAAAATAAAACAAACCTGGGATGAACCGCTTCCCATCGAAATTCATTCAACCTGGGTAGATTTTCAAGCGCAACTACATTTAGTACGTCAGTTTTCTATTCCGCGACGAATTGTAAAGGACAATTGCAAATCTATGCAAATACATGGATTCTGTGACGCGAGTGAGCGCGCGTACGGTGCATGTATATACCTCAGAACGACTACTACCGATGGAAATTATTATACCTCACTAGTTTGTTCAAAATCTCGTGTCGCACCTCTCAAAACGCAATCACTACCACGTTTAGAATTGTGTGCAGCACTGCTATTAATTAATTTGTACAAGATCACCAGTAAAGCTCTAAGAATACCAATAGAAAAAACTTACTTTTGGACAGACTCCATGATTGTATTGCATTGGATTAATTCTCAACCTCACACATTAAAACAATTCGTTGGAAATAGGGTAAGCGAAATTCAGCAGCACAGCAATGCAGAGCTCTGGCGTCATGTACCATCAAAGGACAATCCAGGGGACATACTCTCTCGAGGGGCAAGTCCGTCTGAATTGAATAAAAATCTAACATGGAAAAATGGACCACATTGGCTCTCACTAAATGAAGACCAATGGCCAATCACAAACTTGCAATCCATAGACATCCCTGAAACGCGTAAAATTACTATATTATCAAACACGCTTGCCGAAACCCCTAATATTTTCGCAAAATTTTCAAATTTTCAACTGCTAACACGCGTAGTAGCATATTGCATCAGATTCTACCACCATTCACTAAAGAAAACAAAACACAACGGGCAATTAACTACAGACGAACTAAGGAGCTCTCACGATCGTATAATTAGACTAATTCAACTACAAGAATTCCATAATGACCGCAAGGTCCTGGAAACGCAGGTAAACGATAAATCCTACAAAGGGCGCCTTGCTGCGCTCCACCCATTCATAGACGCGTGCGGTCTCCTACGAGTAGGCGGTAGACTGTCTCACGCGGATCTGACGTATGATCAGAAGCACCCTTTGCTTCTTCCACAAAGGCACTCGGTCACAGAGTCAATCATCCAACAATACCATTTAAAGCAAGGACACGCGGGTGTCCAAGCCACTCTTAATGCGGTACGGCAAACTTATTGGCCGATAAGCGGGAAAACCGTAGTGAAAACAATGATCCGTAAATGCGTAAAATGCTATCGTGCAAGGCCTACTATTCCGGAATATCCAATGGGAAATTTACCCAAGGATCGCGTCACCCTAAAACGCCCATTCTTAACTACTGGCATCGATTACTGTGGGCCATTTCATATCAAGGAAAAAAGGTTAAGAAACACTAAACAAATTAAATGCTATGTAGCAATTTTCATTTGCCTTGCAACGAAAGCAGTTCACATTGAATTAGTGAGTGATTTGAGCACCGACGCTTTTCTCGCGGCATTGCGCAGACTCTTTGCTCGTCGAGGAAAATCCACCGATCTATATTCAGACAATGCAACCAACTTTGTAGGCGCGAATCATAATTTACAAGACTTACACGAGCTATTACAATCCAAGACTCATAATGACTACATAAAGCATCATCTCGCAAATGACAATATCAACTGGCACTTCATACCCCCCCGGGCTCCCCATTTCGGCGGTTTATGGGAAGCCGCAGTCAAATCTTTCAAATACCACCTCGTTCGGGTATTAGGTAACACGCTCCTCACCTACGAAGCTTTCAACACGTGCATAATAGAGATCGAAGCCATCCTCAATTCTAGACCTATAACACCTTTATCCTCAGACCCCACCGACTATACTGCCTTAACCCCAGGTCATTTCCTCATCGGCGATGCAATAACTAACATACCTGAGCGAGACCTTTCAGCAGTCAATACGGGCCGATTGGCGCTATGGCAGCATATCCAGCAAATTAAGCAACACTTTTGGGCGCGTTGGCGCAAGGAATACTTGAATGAGCTAACGGTAAGGCAGAAATGGCATCAAGTCAAAGAGGCAAACATCCAGGAAGGGCTGTTGGTCATCATCAAGGAAGATAATCTCCCACCATTCCATTGGCCTTTGGGACGCATCGTAGAAAAACACCCGGGCAAGGACGGAATCACCCGAGTTGTGACCATTAAAACAGCGCGCGGTATCTATAAGCGCCCAATTAAAAAATTAGCTCCTCTGCCAATAGACATTACTTAACCAGGGTAACTCAACACGACAAATTATGTAAATAGTCTGTAAGTTATAAATAGATGATAGTAGGTTAAGCCATCCAAACTCGTATGTACATATATACTCACCTATGCATTGTATAGCGGAAGCCGATATGTTTTAAGCAAACTCTCTCTTATTCTCATATTCTGTTATTACTATTATACATTGCACACACACACACACACACACCACACATACACCGTTACCCATCACTAGCCTCTCAATCTTGAACGCAGCCGTTCAAGAGGGGGCGGCATGTTAGGGATTGGGTTTATGGCACGGCCGTTCTTTCAGGCGACTTTGAATTACACACCTTTC